ATGAGAATAACAGAGTTATTTTGATAAGGATAGTTGCAGTGTTATAGGTATCCTATTTTTCAATGATCTCTGCAGTTTGTTTTTATTGTATGATACTGGGAATATCCTGATCCAGACAGATATGTAATCATAAATGATACGAACTTTTTACATCTCACTTGGCAGTCCTGCACCATTCTACATTCATTACTGGAAAATGGTATACTTGGACTTGTATCATCAAAGCTTAAAACCATTAGAATGCCTAAAAACTGCTCGTATTACTTGAGAGGTCCTCGCTATCAAAAAGCACGTTCACAGGTGTACTTTTAATATAGTTTTTCAACTTAGTTAATACAAATTTACTTGCTGTTTGCCTCAGATGTTAACTAGAAGTTTCAATTAGTCAAATTTACCTTATTCTGCATATTTAGCTGAAACTTTGTTTCAATTTTATCACTGGTTCTTTACCAGGAGTTGTGAGCATGTTTATATCCTACATCTCTGTTAAAAGTGCATTTGATATACAAACTAGTACAAGTCTGTTATTTTGGGGAGCTAGTTAACTAATGCAATTTTTTATGAGCAAAAACTTTTCTAAGGAGTGATTTCCATTTTCATAAAAAACATTAGTATTGTCACCTTGTTTTCACTTCCATTGATTGTTATGCACTCTTTATTGCTTGTGTCAAACAAAAGTACCTGAGCTTGCAGGCCTTTTAATTCCTCGTGATTCACATACACTGTGGTGGTAATGTTCCCCTTGGTACATCATGGAATATACAAAGATGTATTTTAAAACGACCATTGCAGAGCTACAGACTTTGCAATTAATGTCATAGTTATTGAGTTGTTTTGTATTTAGATGTGTATATGTTTACAAACATATGTGTGGAAAGGTATAACTATCATTTTATCCATCTATCTATGGATCAATACACCCATCAGGAAGAAGAAGAGGAGGTGGAACCGGAGGAGGAAAGGAAGTTATTTTTCTTTTTTTTTCTTTTTTTTTGCGGTACACGGGCCTCTCTGATGTGGCCGCTCCCATTGTGGAGCACAGGCTCCAGACGCGCAGGCTCAGCGGCCATGGCTTATGGGCCCAGCCGCTCCGCGGCATGTGGGATCCTCCCTGACCGGGGCACGAACCTGTGTCCCCTGCATCGGCAGGCGGACTCTCAACCACTGCGCCACCAGGGAAGCCCAGGAAGTTATTTTTGTCTGGTAACACAATTTGATGATTTGGGAATTGTATGACAAAATGTTTTTATAGAACACACTTTACAGTGTTTTTATTATAGGTTTTTATGTTATTGTTCCAAAATATGACAGAAATGAATTTAAACCAAGTTTTTACAGAACCTCTGAAGAACTGCAGTTATAGCTCAATGGAACACAGTTTGAAAAATAATGGTTTATCTGAAGGCTTTTATTTCTTTTAAAATGCAAATACCTCTACTTTCACCTGCAATCAGTCATTTATATATTAATGTGAACAAATTTATTAGATATCTTTCTGAGACTTGGATTTAATGCAGAAGAAGAGGAGGCAAAGATTAACTCAGCAACTGAAAGAAACGGGAAAGACTGAATATTAAGGCTAAGAGCACTGAAGATCTAATTTGCCTACTTTACAATTTTGCTTAAAGACCATGACATCTACATATGATACACTCATTTTTATTTCCAAAAGAAGTAAAACAAAACAGACAACAACAAAAACAAAAGAAAAAGACAAACCCACAAAGAAAGTGTCTGAATTAGATGAATGTGAGTATGTGTATGTTTCAGAACTGCATCTGTTTTAGAGTATTTTGCTAAAACAATAATGTAATTAAATTAATTACTTATAATTTTGATCAACTCGAATTAAATCAACTGTAAAATTTCCAAGCAGTGAATTTATTAATTGAAGATACTCTGATCTTATGCTGTGAATGTCCTCAAAGATTGCAAGCAAAAAAATTGTGCAGGAGCTCCAGTTTATGTAGGGTGAAGTATAAATGAGTATGTAATGCTCCAAACCTGATCTTGTACCTTTGATCTATGACATTTTTTAAATTAAAACAAACTTGTAAACTTTTTCTTAATTTAAATCCTTCTACTAAATTAAAAAAATTATCTTTACTTCAAGAATCTATAGTTAGGTATGCTTCCCCCATTCTCCCCACCACGAAAAGCTTTCTAAAGTTTATGGAAACAAGCATCCATTCTAATATAGTAAACATTCAGTTTAAACTTCAAATGTTTTACAGAGCTATATCAGAAAAGTTGCTAGTTAACATTTCAAGAAAGTACAACTTAAAAAGAAGAAATTTACATTATTAATTTGTTCATTTATTTACTTATATTTTTCCAAGAGTGAAGTTACTAATTTGAATCTGGGTTAAGAAAAGTTGTTGGACTAGAAATACAGTTTCTGTTATTTCATTCTAAAGGCCATACCTGTAACCATTCTGTGTAAATCTGAAAATATATTTAGATTTAAAATACTGATTGACCCTTACATTTAATACTATTGTCTTCGTGTCAAGAAATTGAAAACAAGATCAAATGATAGAAACATTTACCCATTTCGCGAAGGGATACATGCAGATATTTTAAGTAGTAAATTTCTTTCATTTCTGATTATTAAGTGTAACATTTAAGAATTAACAGAATAAATGTGAAATCAAAACTTTGAAGCATTTTGATATACTTTTAGCTATTTTGTTGTAAAATATATCAAAATGAAAAAAATCTTGATAAAATTAATAAAAGACTGATTAACACAGAAGTCTTTTTAAAATATTCAGCTGATGAAGTCATTTTAAGCATTCAATTACACTGATCTTGAAATAAAACTAAACCCAAACTTACAAGCATAGTTGGTTTAGAGAGGGAAATAAAAGTTGAGCCAAATCAATTATAAAGCATGCTTTTGTTATTACTCATACAATGACCTTCAAAAACTCTGATTTCTAATGCTTTTCCCAATCTCTGTACTGAGAAAAATGTATCCCTAAGTCACAAACCCTGTAGGTTCTCACTTCATTCCTCCTTCTTTCCCAAGTTTATGGAAACTTGGTCCCAATAGTTTCATAGTACAAAGCAAGAAGACAGAATGGGAAGAGAGACCTTTTCCTAGGGTTATGGGCACTGACAGTCTATACAATACTTCTGGCTGATTTGTGTGTGCTTCATTCCAAACGTGTATTCCTTAGCATGCAAAGGGGGATGAGTGAGACCAACAGACAGCATGTCTGCAGTAGCTCCACAGTATACAGACACTTGTCCTGGTGGAGCACAGCCACGAGTTTTACAAACTTTAACATCTCCTTGGGCTAACATAGTTGGCGGCTGAGCACTGAGAATCAATTCAGATACATATCTGAAATGTCTACGTGCAAAGGACATGCCAAGTATTAATAGGCAGTGACCAAACAGAAAAATAAACCTAGAATTATCATTTTATATATATAATATATGTAAAACTATTTTTTTAACTATATGGACTATATTACTATATGTACTCATTGCTTCCTTAGGGATAGAAGCAGAGGTTTTTTAGGTTTGGTCTTAGTATGGTCCTTGAACTAATTTTTAAACTTAGAAAATTTTCAGGAATCTTTTTAGAAATCTGCATTTACATTTAAATATAAATGCATTATTAATGTCAATAAATCCTAGAAATTAGTAATTATACCTAATTTCTCTCATTTTAAAATTCATATAGCACAAGCCTACTCATTTTTTCTACGTACTTCTTCAAAAAACCATTTTCCTCCATGTTTTCATACAGTTATATTCGTTCTGAATAGAAAGCATCTTAATTAATTTGGTATAACTTTCTTGCATTAAATTACACAACTCTTCAGGATTTGCCTCTTTAGGATCACCCATTCATTTAGTGAGCATCAAAACCTTCTGTTATTGGCAGGCTGTAGTAAGCACTTCTTTCAAGAGGATACTTAATACTTCCTCTGTCAATCTTTTTTCACCTTCATGGTCACCAAGTGCCATCTAACAGAAGTCACCGCCTGCTACTGAAACTTGAATCAGATACCTTCAGATACCTGAAGACACCAAAACATAAAGCTATTTCCTACCACCGCCAAGCCTATCAACCATCCTCACATTTTATTTTCTTTATTTAAAAAAATATTTATTTTTATTGAGCCCATAAGGCTGTGATCTCTTCATATTTTGCCTTTGCTACACTGAGCTGAGCCAATATGTTTTCTTGGCCATCTCAATGCCATCAAAGGTATTAGATAGATTCTGGAAGGTTAAAAAAAAATAGTATGGATACTATACATAAATTGGGGCATGATCAATTATTATAATACCAAAAGATTATAATAACAATTTGGTGTCTTTGTTTGTACAGTTTATCAACAAGAATTAGTTGTCATGTCCCAATGTGAAGTATAATTCAATGGAGTGGAAAACTGATCCATAGTTATTCTACCCTATTTTGTGAGTCCTTTGCCCTTTGTTTCCCAGGTATTCTACTTTTTACTAAATTTCTGGAAAACTAGAAGCAGATAACCAAAACTTATCGTGGGATATTTTAAAATGCCATTATATATAATATTTAGGACAACAGTTTCATGTAAGATAGCTTCCTAATCATAGCCTGACTGAAGAAAGCCAAAAATAAAACTTGCAACACACCTCAGAAAAGCCTTAACTAGGCCCTTGTTATAGCAACTCAAACATCTGACCAAGATGATCACATTCCAGAATTTAATGTACAATACATCCTATATTATTATCCACTAAATACCCACGTATATTTTATTTTCTGTGTCAAGAGCTATACCCACAAAAAAGAGAATAAAGGAGAAAAAAATCCATGAAAATATAGCCAGTTTATACATGATTTTAGAATCTATTATAATATTAATCACACTTGCATATCTGATATAAAAAATACAACTGCATAAATATATAGAGCATAGTGCAATGGAAAACTCTTACATTTAAAGTAGTCTTTAAGAGCCGATTAAGAAGCAACAATTAAATGTTAGAAAACTTACCTTGACTTGCAAACTTCAACTCTTTGGCATCTGTGAGCGTGGTCCTTTTGTCAGACCCTTTTTTCTCTGTTCGGCGATGGCTTCGTCTTTTCTTAGACTCTCCCCAAAGATTGGACCCTCCATGCATGCTTGGTATATTCAAAATAGCAATTCCTTCCAGAGAGATGTTTATTAAATCAATCTGTACTCCATCACACTGATTAGAAAAAGGAAAAGAACAGAAACAATTTGATTTCATCTTTTGTATTTCCTTATCTTTTAATAAGAATTTAAAAATCTATAATCTTGTCCTTTCTAAATAAACCTTTCAAGAACACTTAAATGGTTGCCCTAAAGGTCAATATAAAAGATAAAGCAACCAATAACATTTACCAGGTATCATAAATAGTCTTTAAAAATGATCAAATTAAATCATCAGTGTACCTCTGTTTACAGAAAACCTTCGAAAGGGGCCCAGTTTAGTGTCTGCATATATAACCAGCTGCAAATTTCCAATGTGTTACAAAGAGGTTGATTCTGGAAAGTTTTGTCAAATTTTAGGCAGAAATTTTAAGGACTGCTCCTATTTAGAACACACTGCAAGGTACTATTGGGGGAAAATAAAGAAACAGAATTCATAATTAGGGTCTCATTTTAGGGGAGCAGAGAAAGAAATGGCTTAAGAGACTTTTGAAAAAAGAAAAACAGCAATTCAAAGAGATCTGAATTACAATGAAGTGGCCAAGGATGGTTTCTTGAACTAGATTAAGTTCCAAGCACAGTGTCAAAGGCAACGAGAGGTATGGTTATCTAAATGAACATGGAGAACCAGGCAGGCTGAGTGAAGCAAATGCCAAGAGCAGCAGCAGTAAAAGGAATCTCCAGGGGCTTCCCTGGTGGCGCAGTGGTTGAGAGTACCCCTGCCGATGCAGGGGATGCGGGTTCGTGCTCCGGTCCGGGAAGATCCCACATGCCGCGGAGCGGCTGGGCCCGGGAGCCATGGCCGCTAAGCCTGCGCGTCGGGATCCTGTGCTCCGCAACGGGAGAGATCATAACAGTGAGAGGCCCGCGTGCCGCAAAAAAAAAAAAAGGAATCTCCAACCCATCATTACTTTATAGCTGCTTTAACGAAAAAATGAAAAGTAAAATCAGTCAGCCAGCCAGATTTTTTTGTTTGCCTGGTGAGAATACACCCTTTCACGATGCAAAATATGGAACACTCTACCAGACAATGCTTTGCAATACTCAGAGTGATCACTTTTTACTTTTTTGAATTTTCCATACATTTCTACTGGTGTGCACGTGTGGAAAGTGACAAGGCCATACTGTATTTTTGTAATTATGATTTATTTATTCATTTGCTTTGAGTTTCCTAAAATGGTACTTATTATAATATAGCCCAGATATTGTCCTCCCATTTTCAGTTAGACGTCAATATGAGCAGAGATGTCAATATGTAACACTATGCTTTACAAACAAACTTTGTTAGGGATATGCATTTCATCAGTTAAAGTATATCTGCAGCGGGATTGTTTTATTTGCTATATGTTTTATTACAGTTAAAAAAAAAAAAGGTGGATACAATTTCATCATTCTCTTTCTCACCATAATCATGATTTTTGAAACTGGAAGAGATAATCCTTTACGAAAATTACAAAAACAAAAAACAAACAAAAACCCTCTCTTTTTCTACATTTTCCTCATCATACTGAATCTAATACTGTATCTTGTTCACTAAAATATAAAAACTGTGAAATAAAGCAACACATCTTGAGCCTACTTGGCAGGGCTAGAAACAAATTCTAGAGAAGGTGCCAAGTTTTCATTCAATTTATTTCAACGAGGGTGAAACCAAGGTCTGGATGATGCCTTTTCTCCCCCTAGAAACAACTGATTTTTTTCCCCTTCTTTTCATGTATTAAATTAAGATGACTTCTTTTTACTAAAGAATTCTGCTCATGTGTATACTCACTTACTGCTATATATTCTAGATAAACAGATATTAATTTCATAATTAAAAGTAATCTTGTGTAAATACCCTGCAGGCCTCAATGAATCAAACACATACTGTGTGTCAGGCCTCCTACTGTCTTCAAGTGGAATGTACTGGCTGGATAATTAGATAGTACATATTTTTTAACCTTATTTGCATGCATATTATATCTTTTGCACACTGACAAGCAGCAGTAACAACAAAAGTCAGATTACCACAGGGAATTCCCACAAAGAAGTCTTCATTCCTTATAATTTGCAGCCTAAATTAAAATAATTTGATCTTTGACAAGGATGAAATGTCAAGCAGAAGGGGGTCCTCTACAAGCCACGGCCTGTGGCTTCTGAAATCTGCCTAATTTATGTCAGTCACTTCTTAATACATATTTAAGTATTACACGAAAAAGACGATAAATATGCAATCTGACACCTTTGGTATTTCCCTGCTGTTAATTTATAAAGGTCTGGCTTCCCCCAAACTGACTAAAATCATTTAAATAACAGAAGAATTGTGAAATAAGCTGGAGTTGAGGCCTGGCTTCCATTTTCACTCAATATTGAACACAGCAGGTAGCACACTAAGACAATTATTTGACTAGGCCTTCGAACCCCACTGTGACAAGTTACTTTCAGAATTAGCGAAGGAGTATTCCTTTGTTCATCTGCAAAAAAGGAGAGCATGTTGCAAATAGGCTTTTTTTTTTTTTTAAACTGAATTAGGGGAATCACATGTGACAACTGAAAAACATCAGTGTATACTATTATTCATGTTTTCACTCTTCAGAGTCTTGGCACGTGTAGTTTTAAGGAAACAGTAAGCAGCTCTGTGAAAAGTGAAAAAAATTCTTAAGAAATTCCAAAGAAGAAGGACCAATGGAGAACACTGAGGTTCCTGTGAGAGGATAGTGTACTTACATAAATACCTACTTATTAATAATTTGTTTCCACTAGTTCTTGACCCCAGGCTACCTTCCTCTGTTTGCTTTAACGTTATGTTCATTAGTCTGGAAATTTCCAGTGCTGGCTCTGATGAAGACCAGGAGTTGTATAGCACACCAGTTGAGTGCATGGAAATAAAAGCTGAGGTGAAGGCTATGAAATATAAACAAGTTATAATACTGTGTCAGATAATATTTTCATCCACTTTGAAGATTTATGATTTTTAAAAAGGTAGCTACAGAGAAAAAGAATATAAAAGCTTAAAAGCTAACAGCCTTGGTTAGTCAATAAATCCTGAATATTTTTATTATGTTGAAGAGAGGTCGTTAACGTATACTACTATGGGAGCTATTTTCAGAGTGCAATGTTGTGAGGCCATTGTCCACTCTTTACAGTTTTGAAATGGAAGATCTTATTCTAGAGACAAATTTACCTAAAAGAATATGGTTTAAAATTTTCTTCCAATATATTTTAATCCTAGTTTATAAATATACCCTGCACCACATTACACAGAAGTGTTAAAGACAAACTTTTATATGTGATTTTAGTGTTTTAGATTCAGTTAACATGTCACTTGACAGAAATATTTAAAACATGTGAAGAACTTTGGAGAACCATAAAAGTGTGGATAATAAATCTGATAAGATATGATTAATGATAAACTGTAAATATTTTTTCATAGTGAGTCTAATTCTATGCCCAGGTCAGATAAAATTTATTCATAATTTTACTTAATGAAACATAAAAACATTGCTTTGTTCATTGTTTAAAATGGTATGGTGTAAAATGACTTAAATATACCTGCTTTTAGAAGAGTTTCTGCAAATTCATACATAATTCATAGGATAAAATTATTTATGTTTTGCAGAAAACTATAGCAGCAAACCTACAAATTAAAACGTACATATAAATGGCTTAATGGGATTAGAAGGCTGTGGTATTCTATATTTTCCCAGTGATTAAGCTCCGTGTTTTCTGAAATGCATTTGAAAAGTATTACCCACAAAACACCGTGTGATATAGGGACCCAGAACATGCCTTTTAGGTGATTTTACTGTTAGCTGGCAGTCCAGTGACGGTGACAAAAGTGCTGATTGCTGATAATTGCAAGATTATTTTTAGAGTGGAATGGGAGATAACTGGTAAAGGAGAGGAAGATGGAAGCACACTTGGAAAACAGGAATATTTGAAACTGGTACCGTGTATGCACACACACAGTTGCTGAACATGTTGATAGTAACAATAACACTGCTGGTTCAAGATATCAAGCATTGGGGCTTCCCTGGTGGCGCAGTGGTTGAGAGTCCGCCTGCCGATGCAGGGGACACAGGTTCGTGCTCCGGTCCGGGAAGATCCCACATGCTGCAGAGCGGCTGGGCCCGTGAGCCATGGCCGCTGAGCCTGCGCGTCCGGAGCCTGTGCTCCGCAACGGGAGAGGCCACAACAGTGAGAGGCCCGCGTACCGCAAAAAAAAAAAAAAAAGATATCAAGCATTAGCTATAAGTATCAGCAGAAAAGCACTTTAATTTTACATGTTTCTCTCTTTCAGGAGATTCTGTGAAAGCCAGAAATTATTGCTGGAATATTAAATTTCTTACCAAAAGTTATCTCATTAAAAATAACTTGTGGTAACTAAAGAAGAGAAATTTCACCTTTGGTCACCTTTCATCTGTCTCATTTCTTCCTCACTCTCCTCAGTAAGAAAAATTATAATGTATTTATCTTAATGAAACGGTAACAGTACCTCAACGCCACATTTCTTGTACTTTCCTGGAACAGGGAGGTATTTTTTTGTTTTGGACTTGATGAATCCAATTTTTGATTACTAGGACCATCTTTGTTGAGGTCTACACCTTTAATGTCTCCCTTCATCATTGTTTCTAGAATTTCATTGCAAAAAAAAAAAAGAAATCACCTGGGAAGCTTTAGAAGAGAGGGAAGATCTTTTGCCTGTTCTTATCACACATGTGCGCACATGCGTGTGCACACACACACACACACAGAAAGAGGGCAGGGAGATACTTTTGGAGGTGATGAAATGTTGATGGCTTTGAATATGATTATAGTTTCATGGGTATATTCTTTTCTCCAAACTCATTAAGTTGTCTACATTAAATATGTACAGCTTTTTGTAGGTCAACTATGCCTCAATAAAGGGTTTAAAAAAGAATGTTCATTCACACGTTTCATTTCTACTACTCCAAGATGGTGTTTTGGTAGCGGTAAGGATAGGCTACTGTTCTCTAAATGCATGCTGAGAGACCGTCCAGGATGATTTTGATATAG